AGCACCGGTGTCAAAGTGTTTTTCATGTCTTCAATCACCTTGTTATTTCTCAATTCATCATTAAACCCTGTTATTTACTGCTGGAAGATGAGACACATTCGACGCGCTGTCACCGACATACTGCGAAATATATTTCCAAGTTACAGCTGAGGAAAGCTTCTAGCTGTAGAGAAGCTGAGGCTAGGTAACGACTGAGACAATTCCTGGTATTTTTAAAAAGGCCTGATAGCTATACTTGTCGAATAGAATAGGTCTTGTCGCGAAAGCATGAGGCTTTGATCCGACAACGTTAATTGAAATAGCTGTATGTCAAACTGGGCCATAAAGTATTCTCTGTAGAATTCGCTTTTAACTAATCAATCACTTCTGAAAATTTTATATAATAGTTTGGTTTATCCATATCTCCATTATGATAATATTGTTTGGGCAAGCAATCATTATACCGTAAGACTTGCGAGTTACAACATTTTCGTCATATAAAGCTCCCTCTCGTCTACTTTTCAAAAACTGAATTTATTAGACATGAAACAAATTAACAATCGTTTCTTGTTAGCACTTTCTGTTTTAATCTTAGGTCAAAATCACTCCCAGAGTATTTCAATGATTTCTGTATAGAAAATACTCATTCATAACCGTTATACACGGAAGCCTAATAGTCTACACAACAAGTTTAATAGGACAAATTTCGGTGTTTACTATACAAGAAGAAAAGTAATTAATGTATGAAACACTATTCCACATGAAATAAAACAGTCTTTTTCTTATAAATGAGTTTAAAAAACAGATTAAATAGTTTTAACTATTAGAGCAATTTTCCCTTATTGCAATTTGATTAGTACTAGGTCACGATTCTCACATGTTGATTGGAATAATGTAATACATAAGCTCTCATTACTTGCTTATCCCTAATACCAAATTTACAGAATTTATAAGACATTTTGTAATTAAAGTCATTCATAGAGGGACTACATTGTAAAAACCTGTGAAGGTTTCTTTAGGCCTTCGGCATTCATTCACATTTGTCTTAATTTAATGTAACATCTATTGGCCGAAATGGAAATAAACTAGATTGATTGAAGCATTCATTCAATTGGTTCCGTCAAAAATTGAATGGTTATACGAAAAATAGTTTACTGCGCCTTTCAATAACATGGGGACTCTAAAATTCAGAGCCCAACCGAAAAACGCGTTTTTTGCTACCGTCAATCAAATGTTCGGCGGCTCCTCCCAGCTTCCGACGACTGCCGAACACTGTTTCGTTGTCTGAACTTTGCTCAACGCAGTTTTGTGGGTTTACATTTACTTTACGTTTACTTTACATCTGTATATAAACCTTACGCGGTATATTTTTTCGTATCCCTGATGATGCCGTAGATCGGTGAACGCTTGGATTTTTAAACGATTTAAATATCATTTTACAGTAGTGTAAGGCCTCAATTGAACTTTTGCCAGTTTCATAAATAATAGTGTTTAATTGTTGTATAAATTCATCTGGAGTTGTTAGAACTGAGAACACATATAACAGTTTGGGAAGCAGAAGTGATTTAATGACGGTAACTTTGCCAAATAGTGAGAGACCTCGGCAATTCCATAACCGTATTTGTGTTCGAATGTCTTTTAATTTATCATAAATTTTTTTCTGTAATTGGTCAGTATCGTTGTAGGTAAATACTATCCCCAGGGCTTTGACACTTTTGTTCCACTTTAGCCTCAGAGGTGTCGCTGTATTTTGTCTGCATGTACTGATCCACATTGCCTCAGTTTTAGTGTGATTAATCTTCAGGCCTGAACAAATTGTAAATCGATCGAGCAATTGAAGGATAAGTTTTACACATTCAAAATTAGGTGCAAACAGAGTAAGGTCATCAGCATATTGCACCAGCTTAGATTTTTCCTGCCCCATCATCAGAATATTGATATATCGAACGTGGCCTATTATCGATTGATTATTCAATTGATTGATTTACCTTAGCAGAAAGAGACGCTTGTGTGCCGAGAAAACAAGTGGCAATACAAAAGCAAAAGGTGCTTGGAGTTGCCATTTACTTCTTCACTTACTCCACATGGGAGGGTCCGGTACTTTACGTGGAAGATCTTTTTGTCATTCCTTCCGTGAGAGGTAAGCTAACTGGTGCACGGCTCGGTATAACGTGCACCCAAAATGAGATCAAGGTACAGGACAAAGGTCCTAATCATCAGCGCACTCTCAAGTTATGAGCGCAATTAATAGCGGAGCTCCTGCGCAGCGAAGGCGCGCGAGCGGAGCTCCATACCTTAGAAAATTTGGTAACCCATCGATCTGAAAAATTTTGGTTGTCACCTGACTGTCCGTACGTACGTACGTTCGTCCGTCCGTCCGCACGCCAATACCTTAAAAAATAAGAGAGTAGCACCATTACCATAGCTACATCTTTGATCTTGGGCGTCCACGCTATTGTTAATATACAGCTGTCACTACAAGCTATCCGCTGACCAGTATAACTTGACTATATCGCAGGCTCAGGTTTAGAGCTCATCGAGGTTACTGGTTTAACGATTGGATTGCGAGCTCAAGTCACGTTATTTCTCTGGTGGAGAAGGCAGGAGAAATCGCAAAGGCAAATTTTCGGCTCAAATTAACCCCTGACGCGTTTTGACTTTTCTTTTGACATATTCCTTGTACAATCGTCTCTTGGAAAGTCCCTGATATATTGCGTACGTAATTTCTATAATCTTGGTTAGGCTTTTTGGGTATAGTTTGTAAAAATGTAACTGGAAAAAATAGCAAAACCACACGCTAAACAATTACATGCTCACAATTGATCATTTTTTGAGTTTCTGATCCAAGAAAAAATAATTCTCTTTTCCTTTATCGTCAGTTATTGCAATCAGGAGCTCAGCTTTTAGGCTTATAACTCTTTAGCGACATTTTTTTATTTTTACTTTATTAGTCTTAAGTGTTTTTAATATTTCTAACTGTATTTAATTTATAATAAAACGTGGCTGTAATAGCAATGATGTAGAAGCTATCACGAGAACATTCAACTAGAAGTTAAACTAGTCATGACAAGTTAGTAAGTTTATGACAAGTCATTACAAATGTATAATTATAAACATCTTAATCATCTTAATGAATTTTATTCTCTGGAATAACTGAAAATTATTGCATTCGGTGCAAAATTTACCAACATTTGTCGCCCTGTTACCATGCAGTAAGGTAAATGGACAATTTAAAGGTTAGCAAATAGCTAACTTTACAAAGCCTGCTCAGAAACAAATGTTTGTGCCTTTGTTTGTTGGTCTACTTTTTGGTATCTTTGTTTACTTTCTCGAGTAGATGGTGAATTGCGATTTCAGTTGCCTCCTGACAATTTCTACCAAACATTACACGGCAGAAGATTATTTGCCAATCACAATCTTCTATTTTCCTCCGAGGTGTTAACTCTTATTTTAATTCAAGCGTACAAACAAACAAAACCTCAAATGATGAATGCTAAGTACACAAAAGAAATTGGAGCCTGAATTGAAAGCTTTCAACTCAAAATTAAATACGCTCTGTTACAGCTTAGTGACGGCTTTATTCTCTTTTGTTCGTATGACTTTGTAATTTTGTTTTCCCTTAGCAAGTCAGATGACTGTTATTATTACACTTTAACACTTTTTAATCCCTTTAGATTGCTAAGTCACGCGACTGTTACCGAATGCAGTGGGTGTCGCCCTTCTCGAAAAGAACTATGGGTTTTTACGGTAAGCTGGGAGCCAAGAGCTTGCCGGAGTGGACGCTATTTCGCATGGAGAAGAGTGAAATTGAAGAGCTTTGTTTGAGGAAATTTAAATTAGAAGACGAAAGGAACTGTGAATGAAACTATCTAAAACAAGCGCCGTATTGCTAAGAGGATTTTTTGGCATTCTCATGTCATATTTTTGTAATACATTTTAAATTTCGTTTCGTTTTGTTGGATTCTGAGGATTTTGTAAAGCTCTTCTCTTATTTAGTTGAAACTTTTAGGTGAAATTGTTTAATAAGCTTTACGTTATCCAAGCTGTTTGCAAATGTTAAAATATCACTTCAAAGGTGTTATTTTTATTGCCTAGTCATTTTAATTTCTAAATTCTCCACCAGCAAACCGGAGAGCACGTTTCAGACGTATTGCAAAAAGTAGCAGTAAAGTATCGAAAAGTAGAATAAGTCGTAGAAGTATTTTATGTTCTGGTAGATAAACATGGTAAACTTCTTTTCACTGTCCCTACTGTGAGCTCTGTGACATACGGTGAACGTGCCTTTTCTTTCACCGCACCTATATTATGGAACAGTCTACCGGATTCTGTTAAAAATACAACATCTCTTTCGTCTTTTAAATCTGCCCTCAAAACATTCTTGTTTCGGAAATCCTACTTCTGATTTACTTTATTTTATGAGAAACTCTATTTTAATTAATTATTTCATTTATCTTATTTATTGCTGTTATTAGAAATATTTTATAGGATTTAGCTAATTTATTTTTTACAGTAATGTAAGCGCATTGAGTTTTTTTAAATGCGCCCAAAAAACTTTATTATTATTATTATTATTATTATTAATAAGTGCAAATTTTAACTATTTTTATTAACCGAGAACTTAAGAGGTCGTTTAGAAGGGCTTTCTTCCCTCGTCCTTCTTTCGACATGATCCGTTACGGACAGTATGGAATTTACCTTTGCTCTATGCACATGGAAGTTTCAGTAGCTCCAAACGCATGCCGCTTTGAGCGCTTTAAATCCAAACTGAAAACATTTTTATTTAGGGAAGTGTATGAATAGTTTTTTTTTTAAATATTATATAGACTTTTTACTAGATGTTTATTATTCATTTATCTTGTACTAATTACTGTAAAACTCAGACAACCGTGAACACCAGAAAATTTATGGAATGTATTGTGTAGCAACAGGAGCCATAATCGGGGACGGAGACCGTAAGTCTCGGGATTCGCGCGCACCTATGATATGGACAATTTTTCTATTTTTAGAA